GATTTTGTCAAAGTGGCTGTGGAGAAAAGCAGTCAGAGTCCTGCTTCCCATCTTGACTTTGCTACTCAGCTATTTCCAAAAGGAATGTGCAAAATGTTCCTTTCCAGAGATGGACCTTCCGGGGAACTCGGGAACGTTCCAGTTTCTTGCTGCAGGCCATGGCAATGATGAAGTATATCTTCCAGAACAGAAAGCGGGTCTGTGATTGTCTCAATGTGTGCCAGACCACTCCAGACCCTGGGAAAAATGGAACATTCTGGAATTTCCCAGAACGTTCTGCCTCTGGAATGGAACATTTTGCACATGTCTAGTTTTAAGCTGTGAAAGGAAATCCTACATTTTTGAAAAGACAGATATTTTGGGATTGGAACCAAAACATAATTTCGTTGTTTCTGAAATTCAAAGCATATCCCTGGATAGAATTTTATAGTCTATGCAGATAATATTAATGTTCTTATTAATATTAATATATGCTATCCTGGGTGTCAGTTATCAGTTGGACCACTCACCTTTCATGCTGGGCACATTAGCTACCATTTTACAAGGCTACAGAGGTATTTAGTACTCCCCTGCCTTCGCATCAGTGGAGCATTGGTTCTGAGAAATGCAAAGGCTGTGACTGCCCACACCAGATCATGCTCTCCCCTTCTTCCTTATTTACAAGTAACACAGCATTGTGGCCTCATGACCTGACAGTATTTTCCCCCATACCAGTGGCAGTGAATGAGGTATTGACTCCTGTACTTTGGCTGACCCTACTAGCTAGGAATAGTCTACCTCTTCCAGTGTGAACTGCCCGGGCAGTTGAATGTGGGGATGAGACATATGTTGCTGTCTCAGGTTTACTTGTGGGGGGATGCATGGCAGGGTGGATTGAGTACAGAGCAGAACATGGCTACTGGGCCATCACTGAGCCTTTCTGTCATCTTCACTTGTGACTGGAGATACTAGTTTCCCTCTGCCCAGTAATGAATAATACAGGAGAATGGGCTGTGATCTTTGGTAGGATTTCAGATAGCCTGTTGAACAGCTATGGGGTGGCACTGCTCCATATTTAATTTCTACAAATTGGAAAGACTGGAGAAAAGAGCAAGACCTGGGATTCTGCTTTAAAAGAAGAACATTCATTATGTGGAATTATGAGATCGCTCTGGGAAGGTCACTTGAATAGCCCAGAGTAAGTTTGCTCACCCAGGGCCCCTAGTTTCAGTATAACTCCTGTACTGCAAAGTCCAGAAGGCTTATTCTAAATTGCCAACCCCGTAACGTAAAATGTATTCAGCTGTAGTGCTGGCTTTGTGCTCTTGCTTGCTTGCTTTTGTGGCTAAAATGGGAAACATTTCATTTAAAACTATTTCAGACTTATTACTGGGAAGGGGGTGGGGGAATGAAATCTCACTGAAATGAAAAGCGTGATTCCTAATTACTTTATGTAGCTTTTAGTACCGTAATATGCACAATTCTTCGGAGTTATTCTCTGCTGCTCAGTAGTGTTCCAAGACCCATCTGGAAGGTAAAAACGCCTCTCTTGGGGGTTGGTTCTCCCCGCTTTTATATTGATACTTGCTCATGAAGAATACAATAAATAGCTACAGCTTGCCTTTGTACTCTACTGAAGCACGACGTATGACTGAATAAATAAAAATTGTAAGAAGCGGATCTTATTTAGGAAAAATAGTGGAATGTCATAAAAAAGGGAGGACCCCCCTCCCCCCCAATAGCTATCTGGGGTCAGTGTACCACGCCAAATTTGTAGTCGGCCATTACGCCAAGCCGATAATTGTGACTGGGATCTGGCCTAAGTTAGAACCCCCACTCTGAATTGTGTTTGGATATTTTTGTTCTTGGCAGCCTTCGTTTCTTTCTTAGTTTCTTTCTTAGGTATTTTGGTTGTTGTTATTTCATACTGTAGTTTTTGTATGTTAATCCTTTTATCGTTGAAGGGAATGTAAACTGCTCACCGTTCTGCTGGACTGGAGTGGCATATAAGCCTCAGTAAATAAATTAATCATGTATGTACATACTTTATTAATAGAAGAGTTTACAATTTGGCATTTCCTCTTTTCTGAAGATAAAATCTCCCATAACACATCATCATGCTACATCATCTAACAAAGAGCTTTTCCTTCCTTCTTCCCTCCCTCCCTGTTTTGGTCCTATGTATTTAATTGATTTACTGATCTATTGTATATAATGGGGATGAGTGGAGAGCAACTGTATGTCACTCAGGATGGTCACATTTTAATTTCTTATTTATTTTTGGCAGCCTAAGAGTATAGTGGAGAATAGGATTAATGTCTCCAAAAGTCTTCTTTTTCTGGCATGGCACCTGTTTGTTTTCTATCCCACCACTACTACATTTCTAGCTGTGTGAAGATTGTAAGGCTTAACACACTAGCTTTACTTTTGTTCTCCATCAAAGATGGAACAGGGCAGTTGTCAACATGAGGGCAGTCAATTTAAAAATAAATCATCTTGTTGATGTCAGTGAAGGGTGGGGCTGGACCAGATGTGGGTTAGTGGAGACATGGCTGCATATATGGTTTACTAATTCTTTGTATGGTTTCATCCTGTCCACAACTCTACTACCATATCTTTGGTGTCAGAGGTAAAACTTATGGCTCCTTAGCAAGCATAACTTGAGTTTAGCATTGCTGTGTAAACCAGTATAATTAATTGGCTAAGCATTATTTATTACAGAGACTAGTTTTCATTATATTCCCTTTTGCATCTTCCCCATAACTCTGCAATTATATGCCCATCACACTTCATTCTACAAAATCAGTTAAATATTAAGAGATAATGATGGCCGCATGGTCACTCTGCCATGGGCTCATACGGTGAGTTCACATCACCAGTGATGTCCATTCAAATAAACCTTATTATAGCTTAGCATGATGGCTCAGCCAAGGTCATATAAGATGCTAAGACAATGATTGGGTTCCTACAACACACTAACAACAAACTAGCCAACCTCACTTTTCCTTATTCTGGTGTTTCGTACATAGGTGTTTTAAGCCCACCAATGAGTGGAGCTTAAAATCCAAGCCTCTGTGACCTTTATCCCACTTTTGACCACCACACATCACTGATACAGATTTTTATTGTGGGGTCATCTTCATATAGATAAGTACTATAGTTATATTTGTTTGAGTTGGAATGTCATTTCTGGGAACTAGTTTGAAATAGAGAGTGAGAAACTTGGGAAGATAGGAACCAAAAACCAGCTTCCAGATCAGAAGTATCTGAATTGAGATTAAAAAAAAAAAAAAAGACCTCTTAAATGTTCCTGCGTACTGCTCGCAAACACAGGACATTTTATTGGACTCCTGGCCAATCTGTAGAATCTGGAGGTTCTCTGGGGGAAGAAGGTGAGATGGGAAATGTGCAGCAAGCTGGGCCTTGGAGTGGGGGGAAATGACAAAATGAGGATTGTGATGCAGGCCCCATTCCTTTTGTGTGTGTGTCATGACATCAGCTGCATGTGTGTAAAATATAGGACTTGCCATGTGGTGACTCTCGTTTTCTCACTCTGACAAAACCATTGGATTCCGTGGATGCCTTTTCTGTGCAATATAGACTTTTCTTCACAAGTGGGAACAGCTCAGCTAACTTCATTCTCAGTTTCTGAAGGGATGAATCCAACACCTAAGTGAATTAAAAGAGTTGGCAGGTGGTAGAGGATTAAGGTTTTTCCCAATCACTCTTCTCTTTCTCCTTAGATAAATAACACTGTATATTGAATGGAAGTCTGTATGGAGCCTAGGTCCAGATCATAATAAAAGTATCCCTTAGGGCCAATTCCTAGTCGCATTTCTCCTCTGTGGTTTCTTGGTGGAATAGAATTTGATGACCAAGCAGTTCATGGTCCATCTTCCGTGCCAGCTGCATTCTAAAGCAGGTTACATTCCATGATGAACCCATCAGTTAAGGACCTACTAGCCACATTGGCACAATGGGCAAAGTGTGGTTAGTTTCAACCTTAGTTTTTTTGCAGCTTGGTCTATATTGTTTTGTTTATGGTTCACTGTACAGTGAAACTCATAGGTGTCCCCACGGGTATGTGTGCATGCATATGCATGAGTGTGCATTAAGATGTGGCCTCGATTTATGAAAATAAAAAAGCAGGGCTTTGATCGTACGGTCACAGCCACTATCTTGATTTTATTGACACATATACACCCCATAGGTATCCCTGATGAAACCTTGTTTGAACATACTAGTTGGGGGGATGGGGTGTCAGTTATTCAGGAATGTCTGTTAAATACACAAGTATGACATTATGGCAATTTTTGTAATTTGCCTGATGATGTAATACTGCAAATGTTGCAAATTGGTTCCTTTGTCTGATGATTACTCAAATGGTATAAATATATAAATTTATAGTGTATAAATGGATGCAGTTTGCCTACTATTTGCATTTTGGCATCATCTTTCGGGTCATGGTGTCATCACTCAGTGAAAATTTGGTCTGTAGTGTGTGAAGTCCATTGACCTCTGACACAAGGTCCCCAAAAATGGAGGTGTCACATGTATTGGGGAAGCCAAAAAAAATGGAATGAACAGTAACAAAGCTAAATGTCAAGCCCTACATAATTTTCAAGGCCAAGAAAGCAAGAACAACACAGATTTCAATACACATAGAATCTTGAAAATTGTAACACAAATTTCCCAGCCTCATTTCTAGCAAGTTAAGGTGGAGTCTCTTTGAAATGTTCTTTCCCAGATATCTTCCCCTCAGGCTGAATTGCCCTTTATAAGTAAACTGACTGATCTGTTGCGTTCCTTGCCTCCCCACAATCTCTCAAACTAAGTTTGAGCTAAATAAAGGACAACATTATAAAAGTATCTGACTTTAGGTATAAGTACGGTACATAGTAGAAATTAATATATGGAGCAAAGCGTAGATATTTTATTGAATAGCTACCAGTGGGACGGGTTTTGGAAATACGTTCTTAGACTTATTAGTGACATTGTGCGAGTTAATACAATTTCCACAGTTCCTGCAGAGGGAAAAAACAAACACGTTTGAAATTCTTCGAGCAACATTTTCTGCATAGAATCTCTACAGGCCTGGGGATGTTGACTCTTCTGGTCTGGTCCACTGGCATGGATGTCCTTTCATCTACTCACCCAGATATCTGGTAAGTGTCCCATTTCTCTGCATACTTTCTATGGAAGCCTACCATGCAGATATTCAGTTACGCACACATATACCAAAGCTAATTTGCCAGCCCAGGCATATCAAGCAATTGCCAAAGACCCCAGTAGAGATACACCATGTTTCTGCCTTGTGCTGTGGCATAACTCTTGACCTGCATGTAGCAACGCTATAAAGAGGCACAATACAGTACAAAGGCTGTAACAGTGCACAAGTTGGGATGTTCTTCTCTTGGAGAAAGATAGGCATGTCTTGGAACAGCTGTGAGTTTATACAGCAAAAGTGGATCAGGTTTATTTCAATTGAGACTCAAAAGTTCATACGATATGGATGTAAAAAAAAAAAAAAAGCCCCAAGGATTTGTAAGTAACAGTCTGTGATTCTTAAACTGGGTTAGGGAAGCATTAATTCTGACATCCTTTTCTTCCCCAGTTTCATGAAAATGAGAAGCAGAAGAAAGAAATGGAGTGCAAATTAGTTGGGTCACTCAGATCTTAGGGTAGCTTGAAGGGAACAGGCTGTCATCTTGGAAGCTGTGACTTCAGGATCAGTACTAAAAGGTATACACTTTTTTTTTTAAGTGTGCTTGTAATCTTATGAATTTCGTAAGGACTCCTTTGATTCACGAGATTTTGCTAGTGAGGACATGATGAGCAGTTCCCTCCCTTCTTCTCTGCATAGACTTAAGGATAGACAATGCAGGTTGTAAAATAGGCATTGTTTATTCTTAAATCCTGTGCTGAAGTGAGCTGAATTCTGCCCTCCAAAATTCAGGGGTGCATAACTATTTGGAGATCCACAGCTGGCCTGGTGGGGTCAGGCCCCAAAAGAATAATTTAATTTAAATTGAATTAAATTAATTATATGACTATATCTCAGACTTTTAATTGGTTAGATTAAGGATTACAATTTGGTGGCAATCTTTGGAAGGTATCACAGAGGTGCATCCAAGGCTTTGCAGAACTGTAGGCAGCCCTAGGACCTCAGATTGTCCATCTGTATCTAAATAAAGGGGGGGGGGAAGGAACATGAATGAGGCATACATTCTGCAACACTGGTCTGTTAATGAGTGGGAATAGGTGTAGCCACATGACGGTGATGCTACCATTGCTAGGCAGGTTACGGGTTTGTTTCCAGGTTCAGTTTGAATTACGGTCATCCCCTTTAAAGCCCTACATGTCTCAGCTCCTGGATCCTTGCAGTACAGGTAGTCCTCACTTACCAACGATAATTGGGACTCGGAACTCCGTCTCTAAGCGACGTGGTTGTAAGGCATGACATCACATGACCATTCTAACTTATGACAGCAGTGCCGACAGTCCCAGTTGCTGTCATTAAGTGAATCCTGCACGGTTGCAGTGTCCTATGGTCACATGATCGCCATTTGTGACTTTCTGCCAACTTCCCCATTGACTTCGCTTGTCAGAAGCTGGCAGTGAAGGTCACAAATGGCAATCACGTGACCATGGGACACTGCAATGTAATTGCAAGCCAGTTGCCGAGTGCCTGAATTCCAACATGTGACCGCAGGCACACTGCAATGGCTGCAACTACGAGTACCCATCATAAGTACCCCTTGTTCAGTGCCGTCATAACTGAATGGTTGCTGAATGAGTGGACCTTAAATGAGGACTGCCTGTACCATCTCTCCTGGCATGTTTCAGCCTGTCGTGTTATACTCTCCAATGAGGGGATACTGAGGGTCCCTACCCCACAGGATGTTAACTCAGAGACTCAGTTATGTCTCTTTTTTTGTGGTGGCCTTTGCACTTTGGAACAACTTGCTTCCCAAGAGACAGGGTACCTCCATTTTTTGGCCTATAAGAAGGTACTTGAGATCTGTTTATTTCACAAGGTGCCTGGGTACTGATGGCAATCTGACTGCTTTAATTACTTTGGGTTTGGCAGTGTTATTCTACTCAATTTCAACCTATTTTATGTTTTGTTGTATTTTGGTAGGCCACCTTAAATTGTGTGAAGTAGGCACTATACACAATTTCGTATAAATAAGTAAGTAAATAGTTATGTTGCTTCTTACAGCTGTAACAGAAGGACAAGGACCAATGTAAAGTTGTTGATCTTGATGGAGTAGACAACTAACTTTGTCCAATGTTCTTGTGCCCTTTTGCACAACATGTTGCCTTGATGCAAGCCCTGCCTGATGAATAGCAGAAGCTGAATATCTGATTGATCTGTTGGTTGTGTTTGAAAAGTTGAGAAGCAACCCATGAATACCGTTTGTCTTATGTGCATGAATGAATGACCCAGCAAGTCAACATTTAATACTGAAGAAATCCAGTTTAGAGCTTGGAACAGGTTGCTGTGACCTTAAGTGTTCTGACACCTTTGTGACCATTCTGAAAGTGTTCCGAACTTTTATTGTTACTTGAAATAGGTGTCCTGTGCTTGAAATAGGTCTGTTTGGGGCTTGGAACATTTATAGAATGGTTGAACAGCACTGGGATATTTCCAATAGGGATATTTCAAACTTGAAACAAAATATTTCTAAGTATTTCACACACTACTACCTGGATAATTAGGTGAACTATAACTAGCAAGCATTTGTCTGCAGGCCCAGTTTCAGAATTTTGTGAGGTGTGTGGGTGCGTGTGCAAGTTCTTGGGCAACTTGTCCTCAGCAGTATCATGTCCTCCTCTGGGACCAGTTCATGCCAGTTATGAAATGTTGGGAAAGGACTGAGCATAACTCCCAGTTTGCACATGTCCACTGGTGCACAATACCGTAGTTCGGATGCTGGCTGACACATGCTCACCATGTGGCCCAGAATCCTGCAGAATGTAATCACTTGGATAAATTGCATTGACTGTGGTGCTGCTGTTGACTGAATGATAGCTGATCATCAAGCCTAGCTAGCCTCCTGACATTTCCCCCAGGATGCTAGGTCCTAGATCTTTGGCTTATCCATCTGTAGCAATGCCAGTCAGGATAGGAACAGAAAAAAGAAGATAACACTAGCCAAATTTCACTTGAGTGTTAATGACAAAAACAGTGCCATAAAGTATTTATTTTATTTACTTAATCTTATAGTTAAAGATCAAAGCAAACACATGAAAAAAGTAAAGAGCTACTGTTGGTAACTAGGAGGTATAGATGGAAATGTATGTAGATAATATTGGAGTTACCAAGATTCCTAAACTGTGAGGCATCTGCTAACAGTGGCAATTGCAACATATTTAGCAACTCTTCTAGAGGAATCCAGTAACCCATCAGCCAGAAGAAGAGTGAGAATAGGATAGGAAGGGTATTACTATATCAGCTCATCACAACATATAAAAGGGACGGCGCTGAAATACATGGGGGACAGTTTCTATTTTGGCAAGCAGATGAGGCAGAGCCTCTCAGGCAGCAATGTTACTGAATTTTCCTTTTAGCAATGAAGAGGACAAAACATTGTAGCTCTTCTGTGGGATGGGCAGCAATATGGTAGTAGTTGATATTAATCATAGCAATATTATCAGCAGACGTGATGGTCTATAATGTGGCATTAAAAGAGGATTAGAGAGGATCATGGTGACACTTGCTAGAAACTGTTTCTAGAATCAGAGCTAATATAAGCCTGCCAGTTGTTGGGGACCAACAGTGAGATGGGGCTGTGTTCCAAAATATCTTATGTAATTTTTCATATATAGAAAATCACTCCTTTTTCAACTGATTACAGGTGGTCCTTGCTTAACGACCACTCATTCAGCGATCGTTCAAACTTATGACAGCACTGAACGAATGGTACTTGCAATGGGTTCTCATACTTATGGTTGTCGCAGCATCCCTGTGATCACGTGATTGCAATCCAAGTGCTTGGTGACTGGCTCGCAATTATGATGTCACAGAGTCCTGCAGTCAGATGATCGCCATTTGTGATCTTCTCTGCAGGCTTCCTACAAGCAAAGTCAATGGGGAATCCAGCAGGAGGTTGCAAATGGCATGTGGTTGCCATACATGCTATACATGACCTTGCGCTTAATGACTGCACAGGATTCGCTTAACGACGGCAACGGGAAGTGCCAGAATTTCCATCACTAAGTGGCACAATCATGTGGCATCACACTTTATGACTGTGTCGCTTAGCAACAGAAATTCCAGTGCCATTGTTAAGTGAGGACTACAGTACCTGTGTTAGAAAGGTCTCCTCTGTGCACTTCTGATATGGCTGTTAGGAAAATTTAAAATGGTCCCATTAGCCAAAGGTCATTGCTAAGTAGCACTCTGCTGCTGTGCCAAAATGCTTCCACCATATAAACGTAACTGGGAAAATGGTGAGTAGGTCGTAATGGCAATGCCAGGTTGGATGCTCACTATGATTGGGAGTAGTGCCAGCCTGATGGGAATCAATAGCTAGTAGAATATGGTTACATAGAATTTGTAGTTGGCACTGAATAGTACCTGAGTCACCATTCATTCTTCGAGAAAGGTAGTTTGGGGGTTGGATCTAGAGTTAGCTTCTTTCAGCAATAAGCTTCAGTAATGGTTGGAACTATTTTTCTCAACTTAGCATCAGATCCTTACATGGGAAAAAAGAGCTCAAATTCAGCAGTCTAAATCTCCAGAAAGATCTAAGCTCCAGCCCAAACTTTTATAGCTCAGGCATATTTGGAAGACCCTTCTTAGTGGCCTCCTATCTTGCTGATATCCTTTGCCCAATTCAGAGGAGAGCCAGGTTCAATATGCTACCGTCATCATTATTAAAAGAGAGATTTAATGGCATGGCTGTAAGAATACCTCTATCCCTGCCCACTTTGGAAATTGAATCAGTGGCCCATGTCCTTTTCCAGTATCCTTATTTATTCTGTCTGGTACAAGGATTTAATTACACCTGTACCAACTATCTGCCATGAGGGCTGGTTCCTTAATCTTTTAGTAGATAAATCAATGACAGTCTTTAGGAGAATGGCCACGTTTTGTTCAATCACCACTGCAATTTAGCATAGGATTGCATAGTTTTGTTGTGTAAAACAATACAACGTACAGAATTTTAATTCCAAGTGTTTCATGGTTTACTTTTTAGAACAGTGTATGTTATGTGGTCATGACCATACATAAATACAGTCTAAGATGAATTCTGAGAAAATTGCCTGAGATCTCAAGGCACCTACGTGCACTAAGTCTCTTTGCAAGAATCCTTTCTTGATTCCTTGTGTAAGAATTTCCTAAATGGTGCTGCCACAAGAATTCCTTCTGCTGATGTTTCAGATTCTGAGAGTTGGAATCAAGGGACAATGGAGTCTCTCAGATCCAACCTCCTTCTCAATGGAAGATCCAAATTAAAGCATCCCTAAGAAATCTCTTTCTGGTCTCTCTTTGCACGCATCCAGGAAATGGAAGCCCACCTCCTTAGGCAATTAATCCCATATTAAATTGCCTGGCCACAGAGTATTCAACAATCCAAGGATAATATTACAAGAGGTACCCAATGCTAGAATTGCTAGGGAAGGCTTAATTACAGTTCTGCCTAGGATTCAAGAACCATAGTTCCCTGTACCAGTGAAGTTCAGAGAGTGTAATATTATCAGGTCTAGGAAAGGGTCAGGGTTTTCAGATAATC